CTGATGCAATGTGATCAGCTGCCTTAAGCTCCTTCCACAAATTTCCCACTTTGATGGACTGCATCTTCAAACTGCAAGCCAAAATAAATGTTTCCTTCGATAAGATGCTTTTGTCATAGCATTTTACTACAGCAACAGGAAAAACAACTTAGACAAACCTACACTATATGCTGTGGCATTTATTCAAGCTGTGTATCCCTTGGTGCTACAGATGCTTAAAAATGCTGGGCATGTATCATTAAACATATTATTACCATACCCACCAATGGTTTAGAACAAGTAAACACCCTATCAAAAATAGCATCCCTCCTGTAGATGGCATTATATTACTTAAGATGGTTAAGAGTCATATAAGAGGGAATAGGGGCTGGAGAGATGGATCAGCAGTTAAGAACACTGCTCTTGCAGAGGACCTGGGTTCTATTCCCAGCACCCACATGGCAGCTACGAACTGTCCTTAACCCCAGTTCCAGGGGAATCCAAAGCCCTCTTCTGACGGCATTGCACGACACGGGTGCCCTCACATGTAGGCAATACGCTCGTACACATAAAATAAAACTAATTTTAAAAAGTCATATAAAAGGGAATAATTGCTGAGAAATTTTTTTACAATTCTTTCTTAAAGAGGAACTGGGTCCAAACACTATATGCATGTATGAATATTAAATAAAATGTTTAATTAAAAAGAAATATGTTCTTCAGATCTCCTTAAAGTGTCATTATAACTAAAATTTAATACCCCCACATACCTAAATATATCATACCTCTTACCTAAAATGTTTGGAACAACAACATTTCTTCATTTGGAATAGTCGTATATATAATGAGATATCTTGGGAATGGAACCCAAGTCTGAATATGGATTTTTATGTTTCGTATACAAACAGACACATACTCTGAAGGTAACTTATACAATACTTCCAGTATGCCTGTGTTTTGACTGCAACTCCATTGTATGAGTTCAAGGTGTAGAAATTTTCACTTGTGGGTTCATATTGGCATACAAGAAGTTTGGGCTTTGAAAAAATTTATTTTTAGTTTTTGTTATTTTCATACAATTCGATGGTGTTTAGATCCCCTTCCCTATCTGTACCTCCCCTTATTGCCTTCCCCCTACCTACTTTAATATCTATATATATCCCATTGAGTCTAATTTGTTTTCCCAAATGTCCTTCAGTGTGGGTCCATCCTCTGGACCTGGTTAACCTACCAAGAGTCCCATGCTTGAAAGAGACTATCTCTGCCCCTCCCAGAAGCCATCTGTTGCCACAATTTCCTTAGGTTGGGTTGGAGTTTCTTACCCACTTCCTCTTGTCTATGCTGGGATTTTTTTCTGGTTTGAGCTCTCATGGGACTTGTGCATGCTGTCACCATTGCTGTGAGTTCATATGAGTAACTGACTGGGTGTCTGAAAAACTGTTTCCTTATGGTCATCCACCATAACCTCTGGCTCTTACAATCTCCCCCTCACCCCCTTCTGCAATGATCTGAATCTTGGGAGAAAGAAGTTTGATATAGGTGTCCTCTTCAGGGATAAGTACTCCGCAGCCTCTTGTTCTCTGCACGTTGACCAGTTGTGGGTTTGTGTTAATCACCATCTGTTGCATAAGGAAATGTCTCTGGAGAGAGTTGTGAGATGCATTAATCTATGGGTATAATAGTAAATCAATGAATCACTTTAAATGATAACTATTTTTTGGCGGGGTCTTTTTGAGACAGGGTCTCCCTGTAGCCTCAGCTGTCCTGGAATTCACTATGTAGACCAGGCTGGCCTTGACTGCATGTGTGCCACAGCATTTGTGTGGAGGTCAGAAGAGAACTTATGACAGTCAGTTCTCTCTTTTCACCATATGGGTCCCAGAGATCAAACTCAGGTCATTAGGCTTGACAGTAAGCACCTTTTACTCACTGAGCCATCTTGATGGCGCTTTTTTTTTTTTTTTTCTTGGTGAGGGGAGAGGAGGCTTTTTGAGACAGAGTCTCCCTATAGCCTCAGCTGGCCTGGAACTCACTATGTAGACCAGGCTGGCCTTGAACTCACAGAGATCTGCCTACCTCTGCCTCCAGAGTGCTGGGATTAAAGGTATGCACCACCACATTCAACCCTTTTTTGGCTTGCCAGGCGTGGTGGTGCACGCCTGTAGTCCCAGCACTTGGGAGGTAGAGGCAGGCAGATCTCTATGAATTCAAGGCCAGTGTGGTCTACATAGTGAGTTCCAGGGCAGTTGGGGCCACAGGGGAAACCCTGCTTCAAAAAAAGACCAGAAAAAAAAAAAAAGCATCTCACTAGGCTGGCCTCAAATTGCAGCAAAATTTCTGCTTCACCCTCCCACATTCTGAGATTACGGGTTTGAGCTACCATGCCCGACTCATATTTCAATTTTTTAGATTAAGGATCTTCAGTCTGTATATAGAAAATACTTAAGTGTGACACCATGCCTGACTGATGATTTTTGTCAAGTAGGAGAATGGGGTTTTTTTTTTTTTTTGATAGACTATGAACACAAAACTTTCTGTTATTGGAATAAAACGATGTATACCACAGACTGTTAGTGACATTGTTTCTGATATTACTTTTATGAGGAAAATCTAATTGAAGCAGAGAATATCCAGAAGAAGACAAAAACTCAAGGGAAAGGGAACTGAAAGATGTAATAACCAGATTAGAACTCTCCAGTCTATATTTTTTTTTAAGGTAGAAGAAGGCCTATAGGTTAAAGCATGAAGGGCTGACAAAAGTAAACATGATTCCTTATTAAACCCTGAAATACAGAACTAGGGGGCAGCTCTAAAACTTTATTGAGGTAAATTTAGGCCAATTAGCTAGCAGTATAACTCTGCATTACAAAACAAAGAATGCATATCATCTTAATGGTGATTTCAAATGTTCTCTCCCACTTTTGACTCTAAGTCAACTCTCTATTGACCAAGGACTTTATTTCCTGAATTTAAAACAAGTGGCACAAAATATGTGTTCAGTAAGTGTGTAATTTTTATGCTTTAAATATATATATATTTTTTTCTGAAACAGGGTTTCTCTCATGTAGCCCAGGCTGGCTTCAAAGTTACCACCAGAAGTTGTCCTAGAACTCATGGATCTTCCTGCCTTTCTCTCCCAAGTGATGGGATTATAGGTGTGTACCAACATGCCCAGCTTTCAGTAAATGGATGTTTAATAAATGGTGAGTTAGCCAGGTTTTGAATTATGCTTATGCTACACGGCATGTGAACTGGAGCTATGGTTAAATAGTGATCACATTTTGGAATAATTAGTGATTCTAGACACCACAGATATACCGTTGTCTTGTCTGTTGTAAGACATAACATACTTGAGAAAGTGTTGTAGTCTACAATACAATTGAACAAGCATAGTTTCATGTAGGTATGCCTGCTTCTTAAGATTCCTCATTCCACAAATGATGAAAAGTTCAAAGTGCAGCCCAAGGTTTCTGTGATTATCTGGAAACATTCTTGCTATTTCTGCTTTCATGTGGCTCAGTTTGGAATCATCTTGTCATTCTTGTGCCTGGTTTATGTCTTGCACCTGTTGTTCCACATGTGAAACTTTTCCTTGGTTTTCTCAAAGGCTCATGCAAATGATTTTTTAGTAAACTTAGCTGATATTTTTGGAAGTGAGAAGCATTCTGTTTAGGGGGGATAGAAGTAGAATTACATCAATAATTAAAATAACTGTAGATGAATGTTAAAAGTACTATTAAAATTTTCTAAGACCTCTTCGTAGATTTTTTTAAAAATATTATTATTGTGGGGGAGGAGGGCATATGGAGGTAAGAAGACAACTTTCGGGAGTTAGTTCTCTCTCCTGACATGGGGGGAGTTGTTCCATGGATCAATCCCAATCATCAAGCTTTCCTGGCAAGCACTTTTACCCACTGAAGCCATCTCACTGGCCCCAGAGTTTTTCATTGATTCTTGCCAATGACTTCCCTCTTCCTCTTACAGTTCACACTCCTGAGTTCTAGGTCAGATTATCAGAGCACTCCAAACTGTTCATGTTTTCTTTGATACTTACTTTCAAATTCAGTTGTTGCTTTTTCTTTCCTTACTCAAATTCATAAAGGTGCTCAGTAGAGAAAAAATGTTTCTTAAAACCATTCCTTTAAAAAAAATGTGATTTTTTTTTGTGAGAAAATGTATTAAGACTATTCAATAGTTCCAAGCATCACAATGTATCTTATTACATCAAGTTTACATGTTTTGTGAAAACAGTATACAATTAAGGCTTTTTTAAAAAATGAAAGATACAAGAATATTTATGCATGTATTTAATTGCAATGGAAAGGTAATTAACGCTTAAAGACTTGGAAGCACTGTGAGCTAGACGTTTTTACTGTTCGTTATAAAGTTAATGGAACCTGTCTAGGTTCGTACTTTATACATTTAGTAGACGTCTCTTCCAGATTTTTCGTACAGGAGACGCTTGGCCTGTCCCTAGGGACAGTCTGCAAGAAACTCCAGCATAAAGAAACTTTATGCCTACACATAATCGGAGCACCCCATTTTTTTCTCCATAAGTGTGCCAAGTCAACTCCGAAAAAGTTCAAACCTCCGTTTTGTAATACTGGCTCTTTAAGGGACGGACGTTAAATGTGTCCGTGCAACGTGTTTATATTTAGGCTTTGGCCAACAGCTCGGTTTTGGAGGATGTTTTCTCAAAATATTGGAGAATATAAATCCCCCTTTCTGTTTTTTTCTAACTTCAGATCTGATTAAAAAATATGCAGTTGAAACGCAATAGAATAGCCCTGCTTCCTCGGCGGTAAGGTGCAAGACATGAAGTGAAACTAGGGTGTCGCTACCACCCGGAAACCAGAAACCGGCAGACTGTGGGAAGTGCAGGCCGGCTACAGGCAATCCCTCTCGCGCATGCGCAGACCTGCTCGGCGCGGCCTCCAGGCACAGGCCGGCCCCTCCTGCGCAGGCGCAGGCCGACTCAGCACAGGCACTCCGGGAGCCGGCCACCTAGTCCTTCCGCACCTTTGAGGCTTGAGCGGTGCGGGCCAGAAGGGAGGAGTCACGTGACGCAGGAAAAGTCACGCTCCACGGTGACGCTCAGAGGAGCGACGCGTCGCCGCGCAGTGCAAATCGGGAAGAGAGGATGAGCTACACTGGCTTCCGTCGGACAGCGGAGGCTCGTCCCCCTCGGTGTTGGGAGATGGGCGGCAGGCGAGGAGGCCGGCGTTAGAGCGCTGTGCTTCGGTGAGTGAGGCCCGCGCCTGGCCTCTGTTCCGGGAGGGCGTGCGGAGGGAGCCGTGGGAGCGTCCGCTGGGGGTGGGACGCCGCGGCCGCTGGTTAGTCGGGGCAGGGCCCGGCTTCCCACCTGGCCAGTTGTCCCCCTGCGGTTGCTCAGCGAGTTTGGTGTGGTTTCCTGCCCTCCGAGGGTGGCCTTGACCGTTTCTCCTTCTTGGACACTAGATCAAACTTTGACCTCCCTTTTCGCTTCCTTGTTCTGATTTTCTGCTACCTACAATCCCAGGCCGTGCTACCATCCTTGCAGTAGTTTCCCCATTCCTCCAGGCTCTAGTCACGCTTGGTTTTATTGAAGTACAAGAATGAATTTAATAAACTCATCACCCTTAAAACTAACGTCTTCAAGTAAGTTTTCTTTACTAAAATGTGCCTTCTGCCGTAGAGTTGTGGCACTGACAACTTATTTTCAACCCTGACTGTACCAAGGGAATTGTCAGAACCCAGAATTGCAGTAATGTGCATTTTTTTCATTAAGCTGCACAGCCCACTCCTACGTTTATGTCTTGCTTTGAGTTTATCCTGTGACCTTGAGCAAGTCAGCCACTTACAGAATGTGTGTCTTAACTCACGATAGTGTTGCGGAGTCTATAAAGAATTCTGTTGGGGTTTGTTTTGTGGGGTTTTGTTTTGTTTTGTTTTGTTTTGTTTTGTTTTGTTTTTGGTCTTTTTTGAGACTGTAGTCCCAGTTGGCCTGGAGCTCACGATATAGACCAGGCTCACCTCGAACTCAAAGAGTTGTCGCCTCCCTCTTCCTCCCGAGTGCTGGGATCAAATGCATGCGCCTCCACACCCAGCAGAATTTTGTTAAAAGTTGTCCAGCTTCGGATCTGATCCATTTTGAACCTGTAGAATGCTATTAATTTTTTAAAAATATATTCTGTATTAAAAATACCGTGTTTTTTTTTTTTTTTAAGTTTACTGCCACTTTGTGAGTAGATTTTGCATTTCAATCTTTTCTGTTTAAGACTCCCTGTTGACTGTCAGTCCTGTTGGGTTTAGATGCCTTATCAGTGGAGTGCTCCCCAATAAGGTGATGACTGTATTCACACGTCTTTATGCCTAATTATAACTAATAATTAGGATATATGTTAATTACATCACGCAGCCATAGATGCTTAAGATATACCTGGTGTTTTGGGGTTTTTTTTTTGCAATATATTAGATGCATCTTTAAAGTTAGATAATAAAGATCCTGCAGTAGTAAAATACCACAAGCCTGTCAGTAATGAAACATTGCAGACATGTATTCTTTGACAAAATAATTCATAAGAAAAACTAAAAAAAAATTTTTTTTTAAAAATTTGGTCCTTTTGAGACAGGGTCTCCCTGTAGCTCCATCTGGCCTGGAAGTGGCTATGCAGACCGGGCTGGCCTGGAACCCACAGAGATCTGCCTGCCTCTGCCTCCCAAGTTCTGGGATTAAAGACATGCACCACCATACCTGGCAAGACTAAAAATATTTTAATTAAAATTTTTATTTTACATGTATGAGTGCTTTGCCTGCATGTGTGTAAGTGCACTCATGTTGTGCAATGCCCATGGAGGTCAGAAGAGGGCGTTGGATCCTCTGGAACTGGAGTTAGGACTGTTGTTAGCTACAACGTGGGTGCTGGGAATTGCACCCAGGTCCTCTGCAAGAGCAGCCAGTGCTCTTAACCGCTGAGCCATCTCTCCAGCCCAGAAAGACTGAAAATTTTTTTTATTTTATGTGTATGAGCGTATTGCTTGTACGTATGTGAGTGCACCCATGTCATGCAGTGCCGCAGAGGTCAGAAGAGGGCTTCGGATTCCCCTGGAACTGGAGTTAAGGGCTGTTTGTAGCTGCCATGTAGGTGCTGGGAATCGAACCTGGGTCCTCTGCAAGAGCAGTCAGTGCTCCCAACCACTGAGCATCACTCCAGCCCCAAAAGACTGAAAATATTTTAAAGATATCTTAGCATTTAGCTTGTTAATTGCTTGAACTTTATTAATCATTATGGGCATTTGTTTATTGCTGTGAATAATGAGGAGAACCCTAATTGTCTTTATAAAATAAAGCAGCTGGACAACAAAGCCAGCACATCAGACTTTCTCATAAAATGTAAACATTATTTATTTATTTATTTATTTATTTATTTATTTTTGTTTTATGTGCATGAATGTTTTGCCTGCATGTATGTAAGTGCACCCATGTGGTGCAATGCCTATAGAGGCCAGGAGTCATTGGCTCTTTTGGAACTGGAGTTAAGGATGGTTGTTAGCCACCATGTGGATGCTGGGAACTGAATCCAAGTCTTCTGCAAGAAGAGCCAGTCCTCTTAACCACTGAGCCATTATGATTTTTAAAGGGAGAAGAGAGTTATTTTGGCTCACAGTTTCAGAGGTGGCAGTCCAACACTGGTTGGATCCAGTGCTTTGAGTCTGAAGTAAAGCAAAGTATCGTGGTGAGAGTGTGTGGCACAGACTGCTCAGCCCATGATGCTCAGGAAGCAGAGGAGGCAAGGATTGTATTTTATAAAAATTTCACAGTTATAAATATATATATATATATATATGTATTTTTTTTTTTTTAAATAAAGTTTGGGGGGCTGGAGAGATGGCTCCACCTGTAATCCCAGCGTTTAGGAGTCAGAGACAGGTGGATCATAAGATTGAGACCAGCCAGGGCTACAAAGTTAGAGGCTGTCTTGGAGCTGGAGACAGATGGCTCAGCAGTTAAGAGCGCATACTGTTCTTGCAGAAGACTGGAGTTTGATTCCCAACAACCACATCGTTGGCTCACAGATACCTGTAACTCCAGCTCCAGCAGGTCCAATGCCTCTGACCCGGGGGCATTGCACAATATGGGTGTACTTACCTACATGAAGACAATACACTCATACACATAAAATTAAAATAATAAATAAAATATTTAAAAAGTTTTGTAGAAGTCAAAAAAGTATCCATTCAAATATTAGTAGTTTATTAAATTAAATTTTTAAAGATTTGTTTTTATTATTTCTAAATCATGTGGATTTATGCAGGTGAGTTTGGATGTCCTTGGATTCCAGAAGAGTGTTGGATCCCTTGGAGTTGGAATTACGGGCAGTTGTGACGCACACAGTGTAGATGCTGGGAACCAAACTCAAATCTTCTGCAAGGGCAGTGTATGCTCTTAACTGCTGAGCCATCTCTCCAGCGCCAGCTCTTACCATTATTATTTACATATTTGGTGTAAGGGCACCCAGGGTATTGCACATGCTCATCAACACACTCTACCATTGAGCTACCCCCTCAGCCTGTGAAGCAAATGGCTTTCAGAGCTGTACCCTATGTAAGACATGTAACCTGTACAAGGGTCCATACCTGCACACATGTATATACCATGTACACACAAATTGTATCCTATATATAGTAAATATTCTAAATATCAATTGTTAGGCAGTTTATGTGATTGTTCTTGGAAACGAGGGCCAATTCCTTTCTTTTCCCTCCCTCCCTCCCTCCTTCCCTCCCTTCCTTCCTTCATTTTGGTCTTTTTGAGACAGGGTCTCCCTCCCTCCCTTCCTTCCTTCCTTCCGTTCTTTCCCTTAGCATTCTAATATCTCTGTCAAAGTTCTTAGAACTCTTTTATTTTATGTGTACTTTTTCCTTCACTGCAGTGATTTCTGTTCCTTTGCTGAATATTTCTTCCTTTTAGATGTAAAAATCAGCTGTAGAAAAACAAGGGCTCAATTCCTTAGTGATTTATTATTTTGATTTTAGTTATATATCCATACTTTTAAAAATTCGTATGTATATATTGAAAATGTCTCACTGTTACCCAGGCTGGCCTCTAACTCCTGGGTTCAAGACATCCTCCTGCCTCAGTCTTCCCTAGTTACTCAAATTATAAATGCATGCCACTGAACCCAAAGCCTGATACCTGCGTTTCAAAGAGTATTGTAGAAGTTTTAAAATAGACCATACAGAAGCAAAGATAATAGAATTATTGTAAAATGTGCCCCCATATACTTGGACCCCAACTTCTGACCCTATTTTCTAAGCTATGGAGTCATTAGGAAGTGGGGCCTAGCTGCTGGAAGTTTGTCACTAGGGGCAGCCCACTGAAGGTTCACCCAGAGCTCTCTGCTTTCTGATCTGGCAGATTAGAGAGACCTCTATACATGCCTACTGTCTTGAACTATGTCATGATTTCCTCTGCTAAGATGGACAGAAACCCCTCTGAAATAGCCAAAATAGATTTTCCCTTAAATTATTTCTGTCAGGCATTTTGTCAGTGACAATAAAAGTAATATGATACCATTTTCAGTGTATTTTGTAATCTCACAAACAATATTTTTAAAATTAACATTTCTGTAAAGATATCTGTATTTAGATGCTGTTCTCTTTAAATTTTTATTTCTTTACTTATTTATTTTTTATTTTATTTTATTTTTTTGTCTTTTTTGAGACAGGGTCTCCTTGTAGCCCCAGCTGTCCTGGAACTCACTATGTAGATCAGGCTGGCCTTGAACTCACAAAGATCCGCCTGCCTCTGCCTCCCAAGTAGTGCTGGGATTAATGTTTATTATTTTTTTAATTTTATGTGTATGCATGTATTGCCTGCCTGTAGGTCAGTGCACCCATGTCGTGTAGTGCCCGCGGAGGTCAGAAGAAGTTGTCGGATCCCCTGGGACTGGAGTTTCGGACAGTTGTTAGCTGCCATGTGGGTGCTGGGATTCGAACCTGGGTCTTCTGCAAGAACAACCAGTGTTCTTAACTGCTGAGCCATCTCTCCAGTCCCTAGATGCTGTTCTTTTATTGTGTACTCAGCATGCTTAGAACTGAGTGAATTACTTTTCTGAAAATGATTGGTTCTTATTTGGAAGCAGTTTTCCCCCAATAGAACATTCAGTGATGTCCAGGGAGTTTTGCTTCTCACAACGGGGAGAAGAGGGATTCTGTTAGCATCTAGGGCAGAGGCCAGAGATGTTGCCAAAGGTCCTACA